CGAACCGAAACTGAGACAATAGACTGTGTACAGTTTAAGAAGTCTGTGCATGATTATTTACTCATTTTCTTCTCAACTTAATGTGTTCTGTATTTTATTACTAAGTATGTAATAAATATAATAAAACATACCCTTTTGGTGTCTCGGGCTGATACAGGATGTGATGTGGAAAATGGTATGTATTATTCTCTATGTATTGCTTGTAAATAATTAGGTGATCACAGATAAGTTACTGTTCGTTATCTTCATACTTTTTCATTACAGTATCCATTGCTCACAATTTATGCTTGTCTAATCAACGACAAATCACAGGCGCCTAACGTTCAAACCTTTCTTTATCACCCCTACTTATGTGTTCGGAACCTTTTATTTTTCGGTGTTCTGCAAATTATAAAACCCAATGAGTTCAGAGTAGCTCTGGCAGTAGCTCTGGCGAGAGTTAGCGAGACTTAAGCGAGATAGGGTAAATTATTCACGGAAATGTGGCTAGGAAGTGACTAGCACGTGGAGGCATGGTAAACAGAAAAGTTATGTTGCGTTTCAGTTTTCACCACCCTAGAATCAGCTGATAATATAGAAATGTACTTCAATCAATTGATCTCTTTTACATTCATTCAAACTTAGATAAGTATTCTTTATAATACAATTTTCTGCAGTCATGAATTAAAATTTCTTTTTGGACAAATATTTTTGCATGGGACCCGGGACTATATTTTTTGGCGTCAGATTAGCAAATGAGGCACCAGCATGATTTTAACTGACCAATCAGCTGAATGAGTATTGCATTATGGGTTACTACGAATACTACGGGAATTTTACGCTGGAAAAAAGGAAAATCTTACGGTAAATGAAAAGCATTTTTAAAAATATTATTTTCATGCTCATAATGACAAACAATTCATTTGTTAAATAAACGGCGGAAGTCTAGGTTTCTGAAAGTTATACTGCAAAAGCGATTTGCGTCTGTATTAATTCCTTTGTTGTACTATCGGTGAACACAATTGCCAGGTAAATTCCCTGGCCGAACACGTGATCACGAACGTAAAAGTTTTGTCCATTTCAACGCATAAGAGATCTTGCTCATTTTCCTTACCCTTGAAGCGCTGGTGTTCTGAACTAGACACAAACTACATATTATTCAACTTTTTTTTTCAATTTAACAACAAATTAAAAACGCCCGTTACATCTTTCATAGTTTTTTATCTTTGTATTTTGTTTGTAAGAACATTTTTTTTTATTTTGCAGTCCATTACCATGATCGTAGATTGACCTGAACTACGTGTTCGAAGTAAAATGTAAACATGTATTTGGCGTAAACCTTGCTAAATATTCAACGATTGGTCAGTTCTTTGTGGTAAGTGTGCATTTAACATTAGCCATATAAGGCAAACACAGGTTTGTCAGTGTAGATGATAATGCACATTTTTTTTTTACCAGCGAATCGGTCACTAGTGAGCTCTAATTTTCGCCGAAAAGTATAAAATATATTGTTATTTTAACAGTTCTCTTAGCCACCCTTTTTCTGTTGAAAATCATGAAAGTCTTTCAGAAAGGTCTGGAAACATTTATTGCAGGACATGTTTTCAAAAGAAACAGGCTATAGCAATATCATGTTTACTGCCAATTTTATGTTCTACCCTATAACCTTTGAATAGATCAACCTAAACCACGTGTCTTGAATTTAAATCACAATAACATTAGTAGGGGTGTTTATATAAATAAAAAATCCCCCTATGATATAATAATAACATTGTTATTATTATATTATTGGAGATTTTTTTTTATTTATAAAAAGAAAGATTTAAAACGTCAAGCGCCCGTGGGACAAATCTTTACGTAGGTGATTATCACTGTTTGTTGTCTTAACTTTATTCTGAATACCGTATCTTAGAATTGCATTCGTACCTCATATGGCTAAAAAAATATGGATTTCACAGTCAATTGATTTATCCTTCTACCGCTTCCTTGATCTGGAATATGAAAGAAGTTAAGGACAAAATAGATTAAGTTAAAACAAATTGGACATACACTTTTAGAGAGAAAAACCCAATACCCTGTATTTATAACCTACAACTTTGTAAATCAACTTGATATTTTAGAAATTGCAAAATTGATGATCTTATTACTTACCTTGCATTAACCAATGCCTATAGTTCATGATATCTACTTATTTTATATATGAACTTATTTCCTTCTCAATTCACTGCTTCCTTAAATTTCAAGAACATCCATATTGATTTAATTTACTAATCAATATTCATGTGCAAGATTAAAAATCCAATTAAAGGACTAAAAGGACACCTCTAAATTTTTTGTCTTCCTTCAGATAATTCAGATAATTTACATCATGTGAATGATCTGAAAGTCCTCTAATGGGCTCAAAAATAAATAACAATTAGTCTTCCTTCTATAATACTCGGATTAATCGATTTTAAACTAACATTTCCTATACACAAAGAAAAAAATAAAATAAAAAGAGTACATAATCATTTTTAAAAAATATATGGTTGTATGATAAATTGTGACTTTTAATATTTTTTTTTCATATTTTTTTATAGTCCATATTCCCATATCTTTATCTATATGTAGTTTGTGTTAAACAAAATTTTGTACAATTGATCATACTATTGTTTAATATTCTCACAGTTACCAGTGAAGTAAACATCAATAATGAACGGCTTTTGTGCGATGCAAGAGGTTATATATAAACTACAGGTACTGTGAGCAGTGAGCTCACTAAATGATACCCCCTGCCTCCCATATGAATATAATGGAAGTGTCCATGTTTTGCTCTGATAAATCAAAAATATATGTCAGATCAAAAAGTAAAATAAGGGGTGCACAATGGCATTATGTAATTAAAAATCTGTGAAAGTTTCATTAAATTTCCTTCAGTGGTATGAGAGGAGTTGCGGGTAAGAGATGGGTACACAAAAGCGTAACAAACGGACGGACGGCGTCCGTCCGTCTGTCTGTCTGTCCGTCCGTCTGTTACGCTTTATCTCTTATCTGCAACTCCTCTTATACTACTGAGTGAAATTTAACGAAACTTTCACATAATTTTTATTAATATTGCCATTGTGCACCTCCTATTTTACTTTTTTATTCGACACGTGATTTAGGTTTCCCATAGCAAAACATGGACATTGCCATTATATGTTTACCTATGACGTCACATATACAAGTTTCTGGATAACATTTGATGAGACTAGTTAATTCCCTTTACACAGTACCGTAAAACAACATATAGCAACACATGGACATTATGGGAGGCGGGAGGGGGATGTCATTTAGTGAGCTCATTGCTCACAGTACCTCTAGTTTTATATTCAATTCCTCTGATGGCCATGATTTGAACAAACTAAGCGAAATGCGAGACTGCGGCTTTAACATAATTTATCATTGGCCCGTTTTCATGATAAAATTTTAGTATACTCTTTCTACAATGGTTTTTGAAAAGGTTTCTGAATGATCCCACCCAGGTGTAGGTACCTCCAGTCAAGGTGAGATTATTTATTAAATTTCCGTTTAAGGAAAATTATTTTTACTATCATAAAAGATAAAATACACGTACAAATATCCAAAATCTTTAAGTCCCCTTCAGTATTAAATTATCGTCTCTTGTTTGATATAGGGAAACAATTAATATAATTATAAAAGGACCAATACATATTGTGGAAGTCCTCATCATCTTCCGTATAAATTTTCAAGGGTTAAGAAAACAAATTTACAAGTGGATGCCAGTTAAGATTAAAAAAATAAAGCATTTAAAAATCTTAACATTTGTAATATACAGTGTACATCTTGAGTCAGGTTTCGACTTTTGTCTGCTTTCAGATAATATTGCAATAAATATACAGCCGAGAAAGTTAATTTATTAGCGTAATAATAATTGGAGCTCTTTTCTCCCATTCAATGACCTACAAAACCTTAAATAAGACCTTTCACCAGACCTTTCATCAGGTATAAATATTTTCTACCTTGACATCATAAGAATTTGACCGACTTTTTAAAGACTTTAACATTGTCCATGACATTTGAACAGTTAGAAATCATATTTCACAGGTGTATTTATTGTAACATGACCTTCCTTTGGGTAACAGTAATTTCGACCTTTGACCTTGCCCGTTGGAGTTTGACATGCATTTGAGAAAATTTAACCCTCGAAATAAGCTGCCATTCCGGGGGTATTGTGTATTGCAAACAAATCTTTTCTTATATATATTTGTTTTTACTATTTCCATGTTTTATTTGCAGATCATTATAGAGCAGTTTATTATTTCTATGACAAGCCGTTTTACTATTTATTCGTAAAATAATTTTTTCTTTCAATATGAGAGATATCTCTCTAGCATAGAGAGATATCTCTTTAGTTTATAGAGATATTTCTTTGACTAATAGAGATATCTTTATACTTTAGAGAGATATCTCTTTAAACAAAAGAGATATCTTTTTTTTAAAAGAGAGATATCTCTTTAGGAGATAACTCTCTAACTTTAAGAGATATCTCTTTCTTAAAGTGATATCTCTTAAAAATAAGAGTTATCTCTTTAAGTTGAGAGATAACTCTCTAAAATGAGAGATATCTCTATAATTTTAAGATAAAATTTATTTTCCGAATAAATAGCAAAAGGGCTTGTCATATATTTCACCTTTTCCAGTACACGGAAGATGTATACTGCGAATTATTCATAATATTTTAAATATCTTTTTCCCCTTAATTTTTGGGAGAATGTTTGGTTCCAAAATTTATATATGAGACAAATATGTTGCAAATAATTAAGACTTATAATAATAATATGATAATAATAATAATATGCAATATGCGGACCAACTAAATTAAGGAAATCATTTAAATTTCCTAGAATGATTACATGTTGTAGACAGATTGATATACTGTTCATTTTTAAATACAACGTATTAATTAAAATGAATTTCTACGTTCAATACTAAAAGTCATTTTCCGTGACGTTAAAATTTTTGAGTGTTTTTGTTTGTTTTAGTTTGCATAATTTTGTGGACTATGGAGTGTTCAACGAAAATACACAGGACAACGGAATAAATAAGAGGAAATGTCCAGAAAGGTAATTTTAAATTTTAAAAACACTATCAAGGAAATTGAATGTAGATAATTTGTATTAGTAATATTGGCTGTAGAAACATTTTTATTTCCCTGTCATGTTCTATTTGTATCCTGCTTGAGTAACTTCTACCCATCCTAAATTACGAGATCAAAAATATCAAAGTTCGGCACTGAAGTAAGATGAAACGAGGAAATCTTTGATTTTCTTCTATAGAATACAAGGTCACATAAAAAAAAGTTAATATCGAATTTTCACAAGAGGCGTTGGTATTGTCCCTTTCCTTTATAAATTCTCATAGTAGTGTCTGTTGATCTCAAACAGGTGAGGTCTAGCTCAAAACGTCTTCGAGTTGCAGAAGTGGGGGGATGATGCAGTTAAACTATTCTCTAAAAATATAGATATCTATTTTGTGCTTTTATCGAGTACGAGTGAAAAAAAGAGTTTTTATTTTGATTTTTTATCGCCATTTAGTGATATCACCCACTATCGTTGATTTCCCTGGCATATTATACTAACTAGACAGTGATTTCTTATATTTTCATTTCATTGTAAAATAAAATTGTAGATTTAGATTCTAAAAATGTAGAGATAGATTTAAATTGACTCAGATGCCAATTTCAATAGTCCTCTCCCATGGACGTCAAAGGCAGCCGCACGAGATTTACATGCATATTTTGCCTTCTTAGCGGCAGACACATATACATGTTCCGAGATTTGCATACATTTACTCCTTAGCTCCTGACCTTTCGACCTGCCTAATTTACATTCTGTAAGAATTATCAAGAAATTAACTCCGCTAACTTTCAAAGAGTTATCACAGGGAAAAAATTAGAATTGGAAATATATAAAGATAGCAAATCTGATGGCAATAAAATTCATAAAACTACACAATTATTATTGTGCCAATGCAGTTAGCCTAGGTTTTCTTTGATCGATGTAATGTCGCAAAAGTAGAAGTTATGGCTCAGACTGAGTAAAGAAGACATAAAAACTTTACGTTCTTTTTCGGAGTGGGTGGTGGGTTAAAGATATAGTTCAATTATAACCAATTTCGAATCAATGATGAGAAAAACAACAAAACAAACATAGTATGAAACCATCTTATTTATCAAATACCTGATCAGTTAAACTTATATACATGTAAATGGTTCAGCATGTTTATATCTTCCGAATTGTATTTGTAAAATCTTTCCTTCCTTTTATTTCAAATAGGTATTTAACAAGCAGATCAGAGTGCTGGTTCTGATTATTTCCATGGCAGTTTGGGTCTCAGGAAATAATAAAAGGAACAATGGATCCTTCTGTCCAGAAACGCCATGTGTGTGTTGGAATCCAGAAACCGCTGACTGTTCACACAGAAACCTTAGTTCCATTTCCTTTCATCTCCCCTCCAGTATTAAAATCCTAATTCTAACAGGAAACAAGTTTTTAAGTGTATTGGATGATATGTTTATTAATGTAAGTACTCGAAACATTACAAGATTATCGATGGACCATTGTCACATTAAGTCCATTTCCCACGAGCTTTTAAAAATCTTGATCATCTGATTTTTCTGGACTTATCTTACAACAATTTAACATTTAATGATCTTGAAACTGCCATTCGATTTCTTCAAAAGTCACATCTTCAAATATTCAATATTTCAGGAAATGCTTTATACGCTTCGCTCGGACTTCCTATTGATTTGTTCATGTGTGTTTGGCTGCGAGAGTTACGAGAAGTAGTCATGACTGGGGGGTACATACAATTTCCCGAATTTGAATCATTTTCGATGCTGAAAAAACTTGAGAGCTTGGATTTACGTTACAACAGAATCTTTTATATTACATCATACAATCTTTCTAATTTACGCATTTTGAATTTGGCTCACAATGGCATAACAGATATGCCAGATTTTCGTTTTCCTAAATTAAAGGTATTGAACATGACAATGAACAAACTATCAAAAACATATGTACTTAAGGATAGTATGGTCTCTTTGCCCGAACTTGTAAACTTGGATTTATCTCATAATCCAATAATTCGAATTCAAGAACTCTCTTTTTTATGCATTTGATTCTGATTCTCTGGAAAATATTTCTGTTGGTAACATTAAATATTTCAGTACTGGCATTTTTAACAACTGTCTTAAATTGAAATCATTAATTATTTTGAACACGGAATTTTCTGAAATTAATTTCACAAACCTTTTACTGCCATTGGCAAACCTTGAAAGTCTTCGAATATCTTACAAAGATATTAATTTTATTCCTCCTCTACAAAATTTTTCAAGATTGTTAAATCTTGATTTAAGTCATAACAATATATAGATCATTCAGTCAAGTGTGTTCGATAATCTGAAAAGTATTCATAAAATTGTATTAAATAACAATTACTTATCGGCAATAGATTATATGTCGTTCCCTTCTTTCGTTTGGAAGAACAAAGCCATTTTTCTTGATCTATCGTCAAACCCTTTTGATTGTGGTTGTCAAGTAATATGGTTTGTAAACTGGTTAAAAAACAACAAAGTCAAGAAAGAGCAGAAAAATTTCCTGATTTATACAAATGTGTTTCACCTAGTGACAAGCGTGGTCTACTTCTTGCCAATTTTTATGCTTCAGAATGCCACCGTCCAAAGCAGTATTTAATACTTTCATTTACTATTGGTGGGTGCTTATCAATAATGTGCTTTACAGCAATAATTTTAAGAAAACTTCGTAGGGATATTAAATATTACATTCATATTTGCAAACACAAGAAACCGTCAAGATATAAACGCATGTTAGATGACGAATTCCTTTATGATGGGTTTGTTGCCTATAATACAAATGACAGAAAGTGGATTATGTCCGAACTTGTAGAAAACATGGAAAAGAAACATAACTTCAAACTTTGTCTGCACGAAAGAGATATCATTCCTGGAGGAATTTTCGTAGATGACATCCATCTTAGTTCTGTCCAACAATTTTATGAGTGATCAGTGGTGTAGATATGAGACAACTATAGCAAACCACACAGTAGTTGATGGGAGATCTGACAAGGTGCTTATTGTTTTACTAGGAGAAATAAGTTCCCAATACATGACAAATTCTCTGAAGACTCTGATAAAATCCACCGTAAATGAAGAATGGACCGAAAGAGAAAGCGGTAAAAAGTTGTTTTGGACAAATCTTCAAAAGGAAATGCAAAAATGAACTGAATTTCGTTATTCCTTTATTTCATTTATATAAGATTTCTATTTAAAATGGACTACATTGGAATTTATATTAAAAGACACGAAAGAGAAAACAAATGTTGAAACCCATTGTAACTAAACACAGTCAAACGGAACTATACCAGCATAAAATACGAGGGGCGTTCAATAAATAATGTCATTGGGGCTCAGAAAGAAGCAAACGACGCTTTTCAATGATTTAGTCTTCATGATTTTACTTATTAATCTATTTTAATTCAAACACATGTCCGTAACATTTTTTATCCAATTTCTGATTGTTTTTAGAACTCATTTTTGGCAATGACCCTTAGTATACTGGAAAATGGCAGATCCAATGATTTCCTGGACTTGTTTTTTCCTTCTGAAAGGTGTTTTATTCAAGTTTGGAAATACATAGAAACAAGTCAAAAGGTCAAAGATCTGGCAAATATTGTTAATGTGAAAAAACATTAACTTTCTGTTTATCCCGTAAACACCTTTACTCTTTAGGGCATGCGGGTTTAAACGCTGTCATGAAGAAATTCAATGTAGTAGATTCCTGATTCTGGGTCCTTTCTCTGATAAACCTTTCGATTTCTTTGCAAAAAAAAACTGCTTTTTAGACACCTCCAGAAACTGTCTTCCCGAATACGAATTTGAACAATAATACCACTAATATTTAAGAAAATTGCATATAAATCTGTTTTTGTGCTGTTGCATACCTTCGCTCTTGACAGACCTTAGCCGTTTTTATCAAGTATATCTTATGGTAAATTTAGTTTTAATGGTTTTAAGCAATAGATTCATGTTCCAATATCTGTTTGAATATAAAACAAACGTGGATTACTACAATTACTGATATTTTAAAATCATTGTTAAGACTTTTGTACACGCTGTCGTTTTCACTCATTTTTCAAAATACAGGGTGACCTTAGAGTCCAAGCTTAATTACTGTCAAACTTTTCTTAAAAACAGTGTAAACTACTCCCGATATGATGTCTATCAAATTTGCTATGTGTTTTAAAGTCAATCATACAACATCAAATATTATTTGTTGAAATTTGGCAAACAGTACATAAGTTGTTTTAATTTTTGTTGGCAAGGAGTGTACCCATTTTTGATTGCCATTATATAATTTTTTATCTTTGAAATCCACCTGCTAATTTGTCTATAAAACAGGCATCGGTTGCTGTAAATGTCACATATTTCAGTGAATATTTCTTTGGGATTTTTAACAAGTTTTACAGCAGCTTTAATGTAGCTTTTATTTTCACTCTAGTTTACTGATTCTTTACCATTCATTTATAATGCAGTGTCTCGAATAGCCCTTGTTTCCCAGATTCTCACGATAAAACTATGTGATGAAAAGTGGTCACATAAACTGTTATAAATTCATTAAAGATTCAATAATGAGAGAAAGTCAAGCTTTATGTCATATGACTACTATGTTGTATGTCATCGAGCTAATGACATTATTTATTGAACGCCCCTCGTACACTTTCTTCAAGGACAAGAATGCTTCGATCTGAGTTATTTGATAAAAGGTAGACCTACGAATATTCTAGTCTGCAATAAGCTGTTATGAATTTCCATTGCATATAAGATAATTTATTATATTAATAAAATTTTAACCTATTTAGTACATTATTTTGCTATTATTTCCTCTGTACTACTAGTAAATGTTCGAGTTATTGCGCTGGAATGTATACTTTTTATGAGCTATTTTATTTATGTACTGTAATAAATATTCTATAAATCAAGTTTTGAAACAGCCATCGGGGATTCATATCAGCAACTGCGCCCCTTGGATTTCTTATGTTTGTCTTGTGTATATCAACGGCATATTTTTATTATACCCACGCCATCATATGATGCATAATAACCACATCTCAAGCAAAGAATTTAGATTATAGACTATTTTATCATTTACAAAGGAAATAAAGAAAATAAAATTAACATTTCGAGATTAAAAGCTGAATTCGAGGGATGTTTGAAAATTATTGTGACATTTACTTTTATTGCAAAAAGGGAATAAATTCTTGAAAATTCGTACATATTATCAAGAGCAAATTAGACAAATGTACAGTGGAGCCTCATTTATCCGGACGCTTTGGTTCCTAGTTAATTTGTCCGCATATGTGAAGCGTACGGATACCTAAATCACCAAATAAACAAGACAATATAACATTTAAAAATTCCGTCCCGATGAAAAGTCGTCCGGATACTGAAGCATCCGGATATCTGGGGTCCGGATATCTGAAGGTCCACTGTACAAAATTTCCTATAAAATGATGAGGATATTTCGATAATAAAACAACTTATCATGACTTTGCTGTTCTTCAGCAGAAAAAAATAGAAAATTTTTCCCCTGAGTATTGCTATGTATAATAATGATCGCTCATTGTGGTCCCACCCTACCCACTTGAAATTTTACAAATTTGAATCTTCACTGCCCTAGGATGTTTCTATAATAATACGACTGATCGTGGCCAACCATTACTTATCATGCCTTTGCTGTTCTTGTGCAGATTTTTTTTTAAGTTTTCAAGCCAGACATATTTCTATGTGTAACAATTTTAATTTATCCATTGTCTTACATGCAGCAGGAAAAGAATGATGTCAACATTATCCTTCGTGAACGGGAGGCCCGGGCAATCGGAGTTCCTCGGATGACTCGTACCTCGCATATACTGTATACAGGGAAATTTTCGCCCCCGTTTTATTTTCGCCCCATTTCGCCCTCTTCTTGATTGGGCGAATTTAAAACGGGGCAAATTCAAATTACACAGTATAATTTCTTAAATAGAACTATGACTGGGCGAATTTAAATCGGGGCAAAATTGTTTGCAAGTGCAAAAGGGCGAAAATAAAACGGGGCGAAAATAACCCTGTATACAGTAACCTCGGACGTCAATGCATGGTGATCTTCAATCTTGCTGATTCAGTCATGTGATCTTATTTGAATTTTATTCAAATATTATACATGTACTTTTGAAATCCGAGTTACTTTGATGCACGTCCAACACGGTGATCTTTCTTTCAAAGAATACTAACATTTGGTTGTAATAAACACTAGGAATTACACTAATAAAAAACCGTTTTCTAAGAACTTTAGGCAGTGCGAAATATGAAATGAGTGACAAGGCAGTTTCCGGCGGAGAAATGTAGCGATCTGTTGCGTATTCCTCCACCTATCACATCCGAGGTTTGAATGGAGCGTAGCGGAGTCAGCCGAGGATTGCCGATTGAGGCCCGGAGTCGATTCTCCTTCGCAGCGCCACGTCATACCTAAGCCATAGGAAATGACTGTTCTTTCGCCAAGCGCTCGGCACTAGAAGTGAAAGTCACGGGTCTTTCAGATATAACCTTAAAACCTAGTTCCCGTGTCACGGTAGGCGCTGGCACGATAAAGAACCCTCACTGCTCAATGGCCCTGAGTGCCGAGTATAGGTCTAAATTTGTAGCCCTTCATCGGCATATGATGACGTCTCCGTACGAGTGAAAAATTCTCGAGAGGGACGTTGAACAATATACAATCAATCAATCAATCAATCAACGATATCATCACAATAAATATTGCACGACACGTAAAGATGTTTGCAACACATATGAAGACGTTTGAACGCATCACATTCAGAGTTGCACAGCAAGCATATCTAAAATTTAGTTAGCGCTGTAGAGAACATTTGTCCTGACTAAGCAGCCTGATATAATCATAATTATGCGGAAAAAAGTCTAAGTATTTGTTTATTCATTGTTTAATTTTTATTTTCAATTCATCAAGTGTAAGTTCGTTTGATTTTTTTTTTGCCTTCCTTGATTTACCTAGATAACATATGGCTAAAAAGTCATTCAAACAATACAAATTGTGAGGAAAGCCAACACAAAACTCATGAAGTTTTTCCTAAAGATTAAAATACAACAAGAAAGATATAACGAACATATTCTAGCTCAAAGGTCCATTCAAACAATACAATGAAATTCATGGTGATTACGAACAGCATTCAAGCTCAAAAGTCCATCAAGCAATACCAAACAGGAACAGAGCAAACACGGACCTCCAAAACACGAGAGGTGGGATCAGGTGCCATGGAGGAGGGAGCATCCCATGCTTACCGATCACACCCGCCGTGCGCTCTCTGTCACGACCGGGAAGAAAAGGAAAAAAACCCTCGACAACTCAGTGTACAAACAACAGCCCAACAGCAAGCACGAAGAACGCCATTCAGCATTTAAATTCAATATTGAAATCTCTTAGTTGTGTAAAGACAAAAAACGCTTTAAAATGGCAGTAACCCCCATGTCTCTTTATTTGACTTACATACATTGGAGTGTTAAAAACATTGCAATGTTGATATCTAGATCATCCTTACGACACGTGTTATTCACTTTTATTTTAGTGTTTATTTCTCCATGAAATATATTACTTTTAAAAATAAACAACAGGTATAAAAATCCATTTAAATACATTTTTCTATAAGTTTTTTTTATTCTGTATCGTCAAATTTTCACAATATGAAAGTTTTGGACAAAATTTAATCAAACCGGAAGTAATTTAAATGTTCGTTTGATGCTCGCGTCAAATCCAGCTTAAAAGATTGTTATACATGATCCTAAACCACTTCAGAAACATATCAATCAGCACCTTCAGTGGTGTGAAATGGCATCAATTGGTGTTCATGGCAGTCAAGTATCATCTCAAGTAGTCTGAACCATCCATAGAGAGGTACACTTAAGTGACCGACACCA